AATCACTCTATCTATTAAAAAAAACCGCATCAAAATCCGTTGCGTAGTTTTAAAGATCTAAGCATACATACGGACATACAGCGAAAGCGACTTTGTTTTATACTATGTATTGATGTAATGTTTCGATCGAGTCTACCGCACCCCTTGACAAAATCTTATATTTATAATCTTATACTATTATTACTATTATATACCATTATAGGTATATAAGCGGAAGAGTTTGTAATTTTTTTTTTTGTTTGTTTGTTTGAACGCGCTAATCTCCGTAACTACAAGTCTGATTTGAATAATTCTTTTTGTGTTGGATAGCCCATTTATCGAGGATGGCTATAGGCTATAAAACATCACGCTATGACCAATAGGAGCTAAGCAGAGCGTGTGAAACCGCACAGAAGTAGGTATTAATATAGAAGAGAAAATACGTACGGGCGCCCAATTTCGATGAAATGATTGAAAAATTGTTTGCCGATCATAATAATTGCAAGCTGTATGCACAGTTCTGTGAGACAGCCGGCCGGGTCACAAACGTCTCCTTTTAGTTTAAATAATTCAGATTTTCTCGCTTGACCATCGCCTGGGTGGTGGTAGAAACGGCCCTGGGAAAATTGTATAATGTTATTATTAAGAATGTTTTTAGTATTGTTGATGCATAACATTACATCACGCCTTTTATCCTTGAAGGGGTAGGCAGAAGTGCACATTACGGCACTTAATTGCACTGTACAATATAACACCCACTTTTCACAATTTATGTTATGAGTCCCATCAAGTCCCATGTAATAGGGGGTGAGCCTATTGCCATATACCGGGCACATTTCCAGACTCCGTTCTACTACTGAGATCACATCACGAGGAAACCTGGGCTTATAATTTCTAAATATAAGTTTGAAATCGCCAACCCGGATTGAGCAAGCGTGGTGATTAATGCTCAAACCTTCTCCATATGAGAAGAGGCTTTGCTCAGCAGTAGGCATTTATAGGCTGTTGATGATGATATATTTAACCGTCGAAATAATATTATTATTATTTTTTAAAACATTGCCCCACATTAGGATTTGCTCCTGTGTCGTGGGTGCGTTTACAAACATACAATTTCAGATACACATCACACCCAGACCCGAAACACGGTACCCAACGGTAGTATGTGTGGAACTTTGTTAATTTTAAGATCTGTCTGCACCATGTACTGAGAAATAAATGACATTCATTCATTCATTTATTCATTCATTCATTCATTCATTCATTCATTCATTCAACAACAATTTGTGGATCACACAAAATGATGTTCAGTGCGGAAATCGAACCCGCGACACGTTGTACGGCAGTCGGTTGCCCAGCCACCGCACCAACCGTGCAGTTAATATATTTTTGATTAAGAAAAGTGGGTACCCAATTATATTTATGTTATACTTGTCATTATAATAAGAAATATAACATAATACTTACTTTAAAGAAGGCGATGTAAATTAGAGAAGCGTAGAAGTTAATGAAGTCGAAGAAGAATATCTTGAAGGTGTAGGACTGTTCATATTCTGCCTGTGTGCGCGGGTTCTCAATGTTCGTTAGTAACAGAGCTATTTTTCCATATACCTGAAATAAATATAACTATTAGTGTTACTGACTGATTAGTTTTGTTAAGGCGGTTTTTTATAGTAGATGGGGCGTTTGACCACTATCTCGCCTGGTGGGAAGCGATCATGCGGTCTACGATGTAGCACGTCGTCCCATAAGCAACCTATTCACTCGGGCCTTGAAGACACCCAGGTTAAACCCTTCAGGAAATACAGACTCTGGCAAAGAATTCCACTGCACGTACAAAGCTTGATGCGAAGCGCTTCGTGCGTGTGGGTGGGACGTCTACCATGAATCGGTTGCCAAAGAAGAGAGAAAAAAAGTTTTATGGGACAAACTTTTTGGACGAAAATACCGCCCAGAAAGAATGGACTTGAAGACCTTTTGCGGGTTTGAAGTCGGTTTTTAAACGTAGTATATATAAGGGTAGTAATAAAAGTTCCGACAAGAAAAGAAGAATTGTCCTTACTGAAAATATTAAATCTACTGCCTAAAATACTAACTTTCCGACTACTTTACACGACTGTTTATTGCTACAATACTAACCTAACCTAACCTAAAACGTCTGTTGTCGGTAACTTAGTAATTTTGTCCCAGATCGCTGGAGATTAATTTGTTTTTCGGAACCATTATTATTATTTTCCTAATATAATACTTAGTTTTTGCCCACGATTTCGTTCGGGTGGAATTGTGACTTCTGGCAGGTTTATATTTACATTTTTTTCGATGAAACAATAACATGAACAGAACTCGTGTAATGACACCATTTCGCGAATAACGCCATCTATATACGGAACAGCTCGACATTTATAGTACTGAATTAATGCCGACTTTCAACCAATAGATGGCGCTGTACAACGGTAATAATTTTTGAGACAGCTAGAGGAGGCTTTTGCCAAAAGGCTCAGTGAATTAAGAGATATACTGTAACCTTTTTGTAACAAGTCTTAATGTAAAAATTCAGAATAAAGGGCTTTATTATTATTATTACACAGTTGTCTGTACAAATTGTGAATTTGGAACCTCAGTAACAAAGGCGTATTTTTGACGGTCTTCGAATTCGGCTGTATGCTTTTTTTTTTCTTTTTTTGTGTGTATGTTACGCGATTACTCCGGCGTTTGTGAACGGATTTTGATGATTCTGTTTTTGTTGGAAAGGTTATACTTTCGGGGTGGTCATATTTCCACCAGGTCAGGATCTGATGATGGGATCCCATGGAAACCGAAGGAAACTTTTCAAAATTGTATGGGTAGTGAGAGCGTTTGTTAACTTTTTGATATAGTATTTGAAACTACTACAATTTGATGAAGGTATGGAGTTGATCTGATGATGGAGTCAAGAAATAGCCGAGGGAACTCCTCGAGAATTTGTAGCAATGACCCCGTGTTTGGGCATAAATAATTGTCATTAGGGGACTGATGATGAAGGATTATGATAGCTAGGGGAACTCCTCAACGGCTGACAGTAGCTACCTGGTGTTTGGGCTTGATCAATTTGTAGTGATGAGAACTTTACACATAAATGGGGTATGACTGTTAATAGGGGTCTGATGATGACGGATTATGATAGCTAGGGAACTCTTACCTATCAGTGGGTGGGTAACCTATAAGTAGGTACGTATGACTAATAATAGTTACTTTTGCTTTTTACCTTTTGCTTGTTTTTAGGTTTTGGTTTTCGAAGTCGGTTTTGTTAAAGGCAGTTTTTGTTTTTATTAATAAAAGAATAATCGCTTACATTAGTCATGAACATGATGATGACCAAATTGAGTAGGGCGGCCGTCATTGTGGTAAAGAGCTTGGCGTGGCTTTGGATAAAATATCCTGAGCCACCGTAGATCACAGTCACCATAGACACCCTGTAGACAATGATGCCCAGCACAGTTGTCACAACTATTGCGATCTGGTGGAAGAAAAAAATAGGAATGATTAAAACTGTCTCGTTGGCCGATTGATCGCAATATG